TAGCAGCCCTTATCAACAAAGTTTTGATAAATTGTTGCTTAGAAACCCTTTTTTCTGGCTGAAAATGAGAGCTGCAGGCCGAATTCAAGCATTACAGCAATCTACTGGAGTCGAGGAAATGTTCACTTGTTTTGGCAACCCTATTTCTAGGAGCAGTAATTCTATATCGGATGTGAGAATAATGAGAACGAGGATCAATTATAACGCAGAACATCATATATCAGGCTTGTTTTGGAGGATAAAAAACACTTGATAGACTTGTGAACCAGCTTCCATTTATGTGTCGGTGTGAAAAATCGATGTTGTTCAATTGATAACCTTGCACGGGATAACCACAGAAACTTTACTGTGACTAATGTTTCGGCACATTCGACTTCAGTACCGTAATGATCTGCCTCGATTGCCCATAGCCGTTCATTCCTGTGATTTGAGTCTTCGTACTTACATCGAGTCCAATCCAGTGGAGTGGAGCACCGTTCAAATTAAATAACCTACTTGGAAGAGCCCTTTCATACAAGGCGGTCGTTGATTTATTGCACTGCATTCTGACGGCTGTGGGCGATCGACTCGAATCACTGAGGCTCCGAACGAGGAGGAGGCACCAAGGCTACAATACGGCTTCGTAAGAACCAACCATATGAATATAGAAAATCATTAAATCCTAATTTATGGACGAAATGTTCAGTATCCTTTTTGCGCTCGCTGATCTCGTTATTCCATTGAGTGCCTTCAGAAGGCGGAAATCGGTGACGTCTTCAACCGTTGCAGTCGCGAATCAGGTCTTCGTAGTGCGATCTATTCCTTATAAAACACGAAAAGCAATCCGGTTTTAACAGTGGCACACTATTTTTAGCGTATTTGACTACGACACAGACATGGGTAACACAACCTGCTCTGTTTTAGGTTGGGTTTATTTTACTCGGGATTCAGAATGCAGTATCCAACTATCCAATAACGGAATATCCAACTTTTTGTCAGATTAGCTAATCATTGGGCGAGCCTTTTTATACCTAAGTACGGTATCCAGTATGCTTCCCAGCTACGATGAGGCAATAAATCATTTAGTGGGTCACAACACTTGTTCAGGAGTGACACAATAAGCAGATGGCCCCCAATCAAAACGGAAACCTTTGTAAGTGGCACGTTAGGATATCAGATTACAAACCAGAGTCCTGTCGAATAGCATGCCCATCGTTTGCCTCCGTCGTGATCCCTGAGGAAGTTTACCACTTCGTCACGTCTGTAGTTTCTAATTTGACGTTGCGACTCTGATTAACGTGGCTCTGAAGAAGCAAACGTCTAAACGTTGCCCCAATAAATCATTCAAAAACAACATGTAGGCTAATCTAAGAAAATCACAATGTTTACTATCTATTTACCGCCTCCTTTTTTCAAGGCAAGGTTTATTGTGAGATACAACCACAATGATGCCGAGATACGAGCAAGGTTCGGAACCTCACTTGCGCTTCTAAGTAGCGAATACCCTTTCCGAAGGCTTACATGTTACCCGCCGCAGAACTGACGCCCTTGCTTCGCCTTTTTCTCAGCCATTTTTACCTTAAGAGTGCTATCAGCTACCCTTTAACGGATATGATCTGGAGAATATACATCGGAATTCAACCAAGTTAAGCTGAAGCTGCAGTCGAAATCACAATGGCTAAGTTTTATTTCCTGCCTAAAGGCAGAGTTTATTAAAGGTTAGGTTATTATCAAAAATTGTTGTTCTTTCTTGAAAGGGTATTATGTAAAATGTCGATTGGTGCAGTGAATAACACGTGAGGCTGCGGAAAGTGTAATCATGAGGTCGAAACGCAGCTGAGGTTCTGAGTTCTGCTCATATCGTTGTAGATCATAGGAAATTTTGGTTGTTCTCACCGAAGTTTAGTGAAACTCCGTCTTTAGAATACATATTTTCATTAATGATTAATAACCTTCACGATGTCGTGCAGCAATGCAGTATGTCAAAGAGATTGATGCGAATGTCGATTTGTCTGCATAAATCTCAAATCCGAAGTTCAACGAATTCTTCAAACGAGAAGAAAGTGAGGATCTGATCGTACCAAGAATAGAGCTGCCTCATAAATCCAAAACACAACTAATTCTTAAGATGGTTGGCGAAGTACCAAGAAGATCATCTACCTCGGATGCGGTTCTTGTCGCTAATTGGTGTTTTATACTGAGTTTAAGTACCGGCTTTGTTTCTTAGAGTAAATTAACTGTAGAACTCGTTCTTTTCTGCTGCAGTTTGTCGTTATCTACAGCACTGCTGTACTTCGGTGTGGTAATATTCTCTACAAGCACAGAAGGATTCTTCCCTATGGGAACCACTGTCCAACTCAGAGTTTAGGCGCTTTTCTTTCCCTTTCTAGGTGACAGAAAAATTTGCACTTCATTCTTAAATCCATTAGATTCTGAAAGATTCTATGTTCGGTACTTGTGTCAACATTCTTCAACTTACTTGCAAACTTATATACCAAATGAAAATCACTTTCTGGTGATTTTTTGATTTGCAATAAGTGAAGGATATGACAGGGGGTTGGTTAGCAAGTGTAGTGATATCCGTCATCACAACCATGATGCTAGTTCGATTCTGCTCCGGGCTAGTCAAGCTTCTCATCGCTCCGGGATCAGGAAAGATTTGTCTGGGAAAAAAATCACTCTCTGCAATCCAATTGGGAACGCTTCAGCCCGGCTATCGCAGGACTTCAAGGAGAATTGCTCAACCAGCACTTTACGATATTTAAGATGAAATGGAAATCCTCAAGTAACAACCGAAGACACAAGTAAAAGTTGGAAGATTTTCGTGGAGAGTGGATGCGAAGAAACGAATCGAATTTGAGAAGTGCCGCAAGGTAGACGTGAAGACTGACCAAATAAAAATAAAAAAATAAAAAAAGGATGTGACAAAGTACGACAAGGAAGTAGCAGTAGCATAATTTGTCCTGCTTCTCAGTTTCCCGTACTCTATCCCGAGATGATTCGAACGTTTTACTTCCCATGCTATTCGCAGCTAGAGTTTATTCATAATAAAATCTGCATTGAATATCTCATGATTGGCTATCTCATATACTTCCTAGCTACATCCTCCCAAATGCGTAACAAATGGAAGAATAACCTGTTTGATGATGGCAAGGCTATAAGATTGTCTACAACTACTGCGGTCTCTTCGTTCTCCTTTCAGCTACTTACCGATTCAAGGCTATTACTACTTCAAAACATTTGTTTTTAATTTTCTGCCTTCTATAATTTATATGGCAGGGTATTAAGCGAAATACGACTACAAATATTGTTGAGATATTTGCAAAACTCCGGACCGCAGGTGTCTGCGGTGGGGAACGAACGCGCTATTGTCCTTTCCGGGGAGTAACGCGCTCATCACCACATCACGCTGGTCCTTCGTTTCGTCTGCTACTAGGTAGATGTCGGCGGAAAGAGTGTGGACCTGAAATTATACGAAGGAAAATTGTGTCTACGCAAAAGACTATTTTACAAAAAGAAATCTTTATTAGCTATTATTCTTGAAAACACCGTGAGCACTAATTTCTGTAGAGTTGAAATGCGAAGAGAAATGAACACCCTCCAGAAATGAACAACTTAAAAAGAAATTCACCGTTTATTTACAAAGTTTGAAACGGGAAATTTTCTTCTATTGATTTTCTGCAGAAATCTAGATTTTTGCGTGTGGAAATTTCAGAAAGCAATTTGGTAACACTCTTCTTATTGTTCTTCGTTTTCAGCAGAAAATCAATACATTTAATTGCAGAACTTCATACATCGAGCAGTTATAAGTACACCTCCTACGATACATAGTTGTATGCAGTCAAACTTTGCACTATAGAGTTATCTGTTAGTTATTGAATAGATAATGTCCCAAATATTAATTGATTAAGTGGATTTAGAAATTATGAGGTAAAGAATTGAATGAACGACAGCGGAATGGAGAGGTTCAGCTGGGTGATCAACAACCAGATTGCCATCACATAACTTTTGAAATTCTTCCAGATCAGTAGTATTACGACTCTTTAAGATGCAAATGAGAACCCAGAGGATATTCAACAAAACTATGCCTTATTGTAATTGACACGTGGGCATTACATTGAATTCAACTTAATGCGATGAATGGTCACGGACAATCAACTCGGACCATTGTCGCAGGTCTGAAGAAGGAGAAAACGAGGCGAAAAGTCACCTACAGTAAAGTCTTTGTAACAACTTCGTGTTAGTTTACCAATGAAACAACAGACAGACTTGACACGTGGGCAAACCACCACAAGTAATTGTGTGGGCCAAATATACATTCAATCACTTTAACAATATTTAACGAAATCGAAAGTGTGGTGCACCACTCGTGGATTGACTAACGCGGGCGCTCCACCGCCCTATCCTTCACTTCTGGCATCCAATCAATAGCTTCTCCAATAAAAATGTTTTCAAAGCCGCTGATTTAGAAGGACGGCCGTTTACATCTAATATAATCGAGAGAAAAAACACTCCTGGACAAATTCGCTCATTAATGCAAAGATCATTACCTTTAAAGTGGGTAGTTAAAATACGGTCTTTGTGTCTCGTATCCTAAATTTTTTACTGAGAGTTGTTCAAGGATTGTATAGTAGAGACGGTTCCCAGTATATGACTCGTACGTACTGAGAGAACGCACGAAGTGATCCAGTTCCTGTTTGCTGTTCCTACGGCGAAGAACTAGGAGTCCAAGTACCTAGCATAAGAAATTACCAGCGCCAAAAATTAACAAGTCGCGAAAAGGAAAAAAAGACTTGGTGCATTTATTGTGGACCAATTAGCAAAGTACGGTACCAGTAACAACTAACAGAGGTTGGTACCGGAAAGAACCGTCACACTGGTTTTCAGTAGTATTACGACACTGGTAAATTTCCTGCAGCCGCCAAGAGACAAAGAACAAATCAGAAGACGAGTGTATTACCAATACGCAGCAACAATAACAGTAACAATATGACATGCAGCAATAACTGCAGCAACATCACTTATTTCTTGTGTTTTTGTTTAAAAGTAAATTCCATTGGTCGCTTTCGATATTCCGCTCCCGACAGCTGAGACCGTACTTTAACCTAAACAGCGAAATTTTTAGCCCATAAAAGTACCTTCTTTTCTTTCTTTACCTGCAAACGAGTTAACTAAAAGCAAACACAGTACGCTTTACATAAACCATGTATTACAAGACTGAGAGTGTCCAAGATTGCAACAAATATTAAGAAATTGGTCAGAAACAGCTTCCTATTTCCTACATTGTAACACGCTGTGAAATCAGTGCCAACCTTGGGCTTGTGCGATATCGGGAGATCAACAAAAGGTGGCACTGCAAATCCAAAAGATTTACAGACAGCTATCAAATCTAACTTGTTGACATCGAAAATATCCTAAACACTATGAAATTAAAACATCGAAACAAAACCAAAAAATGAAAGAATGCGATATTTTTCACCAGACATCCGGGATCCATTCACGTGACCAAACAAACTTGTAACGATAATGAAGAAACCTTATCGCCCACCTTGAGTGAGTGCGAATCATAAGCCCGCACATAGCATTTATATGCTTCTTTAGCAGATTTGTTAAGGTAGTAATTCTTCTCAATAAGATTCTCCAACTGAGACTGTATGTTTGCGATCTGAAGGCACAGTGACTATTAAAACTGATTTCATGTCATACTGTCACTGTAAACCTATTACCACAACAGTGATATTATTGCAAGATTACTTAATTGGTTTTCCTACCTTCGACCAAGAGAATTCAAACTCATTTAACACTACTTTCGCAGCCCGGAGATATCGAAGAAAGCCGAGTTCTTCAGGTCGGAGAATCAAAAGAGCATTACCACTAAAAAATCATAAAAAAACGATTATGGATATTATTAACATCATTAAAAAGAGAAACGCTCGATAATACCGTCCATCTTCTCCTCTGGCTGTCCTGCCAACACGATGAATGTACTCTCGCGGTTCATCTGGTGGGTCATATTGAACAATCCAGTCTACAGCTGGAATGTCCAGCCCTCTGAAGTGAATTTTGATGGAAACCGTGTGGCGAAGTAAGCAAAAATCCAGCACAGAAAACTAATAAGTGGAATGGGTATCTGAAATGTACCGCGCTGCAACATCAGTACAGAGCAAAATCCCCGTCTCTGTTTGGCAAAATTGGAAGAATGTCGAGGTTCGCTTTTCCTGCTTTTGTTTACCCTATGAAAGAAAAAAATCAAATACATTTCAGAGGTTGATACTACAAAAATCGCAAAATTCAAAGATCTTACATGAATTGACATGCAAGGGACATCAATATAATTCAACAATTCGTTGTGATACTTCACTGAGTTGCAAGAAGAGAAAAACACCATTACCTGAAAAGATATAATAAGAAATAAAGTTCAACAAAGTATTCGACAGTATTCGATATTATTTATAAGTATTATTTATTATTAGTAGTATTATTTATAAGTATTATAAGTATTCGACAACGATGGAATACCTTCTTGTTCTTGTTCTTTCTCAGAAACGTAAACAGCAACAAAAATCTTTTCTCAGAAGAACAAACAACGTAACCCTGAAATACTCCCTAAATCCAAGGGAAGATCCCCAACATTGCTTACAAAATATTAAAAGCCTATTAAATGTCACTGATGTGAGTTCTCGATAAGAAAACTCAAGGAGTAACAAAAAATGATCCTTGAAAAAGGCTAAGACAAAAAAAAACAAGAAAAAATAAAGAAGACAAGAAGACAATACTTGCTGAAGCCCTTCCACGGTCGCAACTTCACTTTTCTCCGACACAGAGAGTTTCAGTGGATTTGAATGAAGCGAGAGTTTCACAAGTTCGTCAACCTTGAACGAAACGAAGAATGTAATAGAACATTAGGAATAACTAAGCAAAATTGAAGACTAACCGAAGAAATAGACAAAATGATTGCAAAAACTCAAGCATGACTACCTTGGGCGTCTGTGTAGCAGAAAAGAGCACTGTCTGTCGCTTTTTCGGCAAATAGCGAAGGATCTAAGTGCTCAAGTTTTAATGTATAACAGTTTGAATGAAACGAAGATGTGTAGGGATATTTTAGAAACCTGCTGCATCTCTATCTCAAAACCTATGTCGAGAATTCTGTCCGCTTCGTCGATCACAAGACACTTCATATTCTTAAACACAAACGACTCTGTGTTTTGAAGATGGTCCAGCAGGCGACCAGGAGTGGCGACCAAGACTGCAACACCCTAGAAAAACGGTCAATATCACTTGAGGAACCGTCGCAATTTCACCATGAAGCACTTTACATAATATTGCAATATCTAGTGTAGCCTAGGCTGGTCATTCGCAACTTGGTGCATCTTAAGGTAGCGGACGAAATGTATGTTCTTACAACGACAGAGATACGGATATAAATGAAGTATACCTAGTGTTAGCCGCTCAGTCTATCGTAATGATCCCATGCTTTCCATATGTACTTAAATGTATTCATGCATGTGTGCGCACGGATTTCTGCAGAGATGCAGCTTATACCCTATGTATCGATTCAAAGTGTGGAGTAAGGGTCAAAGTGTCTGGAAGTCTTCCGCAACTAAGAACAACGATCTACTTATGTCACAACAAATTTGACAGTTTTCGTTACAAACGTCTTAATATCAACATATTAGAGAAAACGGAAGAAAAAGAAATTAATGCATATCATTTCAGTTTGCAAAAAACCTACAGGAAAGGTCCAATGTCGCCACCGAACTTATTAAAACCTCTAGTGCACATGGCATGTGTACACACAGGCTGGAAGAGCGGACAATGTGAAAGAATATGTGTTCAACGAAGGTCATTCATTGAAACACACAAATCCAAAACTATATCTCCAAGTCTCTTAGCCCAGAAGAGAACAACGATGCTGATCATATCACCTTAATCAGTAGATTTTGCCTAGCAATGCTTCCGCTGCCCCTAATTCTGACCATGGATGAATCATCGCATACTTTGCGCTAGACTGTTCTTTGCAAGGAAAGGAAAAAAAAAGCCCTGAAATTCAAGAACGGAAACATCAAAGTCATCAAAAACTGGGAATTTATTACTTTACCGGCCAGCTTTTAGCAAAACACGTACACCAGTGAGAAGTAGGAACGCCTAATTTGACGCTTTTAGGATACTGTTAAGGAAGCCATATGTTCCAACATTAATTTCGAGTGCCGTTAACGTACAGGTCCATATGCCGAATGCAAAAACTTGTTCCAATCTTGAAAACTTTGCCGATGGGCGATAAAAGTCCTTGAGAAAAGGACAGAGTTGAAGCTGTGCAGGGGTTGATAAGTGCATATGCAACGTCAGGTTGACTTCATCAATTACAGGAATAGCGACGGCCGTTGGATGACAGGAATGGCATAACACGGGAGTGAGAAGCAAATTGAGCACCTACATCATCTTTGAAATGATGCGAAGCATTGTGGCTAATTCTGATACTGAGCGTGGGAAAATCGGTTCTTGACAGCTCCTGAAGAAAATTACGTCCATTTAAAGAAATTCGATTAATTATGCTCCATTCATACCCAAATTGGCGTATATCACTAAACAATCGAGGTGTGCTCTTGGAAAGGAAAGTAAATATAAGTCGCTGAGCTTCGGGCTTTAGAAAGAGAGGCAACGAGCGAAACGTGTAGCTTACAACAACGATGGTGTAGAACGCCTGTCACCGTGGCCACACCATCATTCTTCTTGACTCAACGTTAGCTTCGACAAAATGGACGAACACAAGAAAATGAAATTGTGATTGAAGTTAACTAATGCCGTATCAAAAGCAATCCGCTACAAATATCTATCTTCACGCAAGGGATCTAGAACTACAATAAACGACGACACCGATAATTTAACGTTGCTGAACACCCCCAGGCATCGAAAAGCGGGATAGATACGTGATGCGGCAGAGGAACAGTGATACGATGGTCAAAAATCTCTACGCACCTTTCAAACAATATGATGTTGTTTGTATTTACAAAGTAAGCACAACACTCTAGGCAACCCCAGCTCGCGAGTGGAACGAACGGACAATTTCGCGCCATCATCTCGAGGTGCTCGACGACCAAGAGGAAGGTTGGTACAAGTGATAAAGAGGTTGCGACTAACTAGTTCTTACATCCCGTGGAATTTTTGTAACAATTTTATTTCGAAAACGAAATAGAGCCACTAACTTTTATTAATTTATCTTGCTCAGCTTTGCGATTAGATCCGCCCATCACTAAACCATGGCTAAGGGAAGTTCCTGCAAAAAAAGAAAACAAAATACCTCTTATATAATGCTGAGACATTTGCAAAACTCCGGACTGCAGAGGAAAATGGCGCGTTCGTTCCCCACCGCATACACCTGCGATCTGGAGTTTTGCCAATATCTCAGCATTATAAAAGCTATATTTCACAACACAGCCTGCCATTAAAAAGAATAGGCAATAAATAAAAGGTTAAAAATACCTCTATTACAAAAAAACACTCGCTCATAAACATCTACCTTCCAAAAGCTCAGTTAGCACTCCATAAGTCTGCATAGACAGCTCTCGTGTTGGTGATATAATTATAACACCAGTGCCACTGTATTGCTTCCAACCTAACTTCAACAGCAATTCGACTGCCGGAATAAGAAAAGCCAATGTCTTCCCTGACCCCGTCTTTGCCGATGCTAGCATGTCACGACCCTTAAAAGTCTGTTTGAATAACTCTTCACAACAGCGGCATAGTTGAGGAAAGTTGGAGAAATCTATGAAAAAACAACAACCTAATAATGACTATATTTAATAACCAGTAAAAAAAACAGCCTCTCAACAGTACAACGTCTCTTTATGGAAACGGATTATCCTCAGTTCTCATTGCGTTTCCACACAATAACCCTTGTAGCAAGACTGCAACGCTAGCTTTGATCCACAAAGGTTGATGATCAAATTTAAACGTTATTTAAACTGTAGTTAATACTAATAAAGTAGGATTTGGAACACCACATCATATTCGACTCAATTTGTGAAGTAATCGCAGTAATCGTTATCGTCCTTCAAGAATATCAGTGGCAAGCAACATCTACCCCTCCCCTAAGTCCACAAGCACTGGTGATTGCTATCACACACACATTCACCCACTACACACATGAATCCGCCACCTTTACGAATTTCAGCTGCCTCGAAAGATGGGTTGACGTGTTCATTGCGCGTACAGGCCAGTTGTATTTAAAACTAGAATCAATTCTCCAGTCACAGCCAAAGACCCACACGATTTTGAATACAGTCGTGGGTGGTATTTGAAAGGAAATGAAATTTGAGGACTGTTCTGTCCACCACGACATGTGTGAGCGGGTGAATCTAGTTAATTCTTCAAAAACACTGAGAAGGTTGGGTAAAATAGACAGAGCACTTAAGCAATAAACACAAATTGCCGCACTCAAAACAAAGTCGCTTTCCAAAGTTTAGATCACCGGAAAATATTCCACCTTCGACACCTAGCTGAATACTTCTCAAAGAACATTATAATGGATCCCGAGAGAACCAGAACGACGTCCAGTGACACCTCCAAAAAAAATAAAAATGAAAAAAAACGAGCGAACGTGTTCCTTGAATGCACAAACTAGATGCGTCTACAACTACAAGCAATTTTCACGCTTTCACGCCATAGCCGAATCAACACACGAACTTGACATAAACGTAAGGGAACTAATTAGTGGGAATGTTGCAGGCAGCGATCATAATAAGATAGCGGCTGACAATGATTAAGAAAAATCAGGAAGGCTAAATTAACGCAACACCTTGGTTCAAAGCTAGTGGAAGTAACTGTCACGACCGACTTTCTATTAACCTCGGCATTGATCAAGTGATTTCCTTCGTATTTTTGTTGAGCAAACGCGAGGTGTTACTATTCTTTGTTCACGATTAAGCTGACGTTTCGGCGGATTTCGCCTTCTTCAGAGCCTGGAAAGGTCAAGTTGATAGCAATCCACTCGGCCAGACGCCTCCATAACCAAACAAAGAAACTCCAAACCAAGATTTCAATCACCTTGAACACAGCTTTGCACACTCACCGCTTTCTATGAGGTTTCCACTAAGTATGTCACGTAGAGACCAACAGCACAGAAATCACATGGAAGTATAATGTGCCTCTCACATCAGAAAAGCAGTTTTATATACTGCCCTATATCACGCGTGATAATGAGGCATTCTTCCCTGCGGTTCATTTTCGGATTTCTGGAATTATTCCAGAGTGCCTCGAGAGTTTTTCGTATCTTGAAGATGCTTCGCTTTATCGCCCGTCATCTGAGGAGGAATTCAAAAGTAAATACCGAAAACTAAACCACGAATGGGCCAAAATGGCAAGGGCTGCTGGTTTGAAACCATAGCCATATTCGAACTCCTTACACAACACGAAGGAGAAATAAACATGTATGGCTTCAGGATAGAGCACCTGATGGCACTCTTAAAAGAGTGCTTGAGGTGCTCAATCTTCAGATGTTCTGGAAAGTACTACGCTCAAATAAGAGGGTTGGTAATGGGACAACGACTGGCTCCAAGCCTTGCCATTGCATTTATGTCTAGGGTGGAAGCACCGGTAACTGATCTCGGGCCGCTACTCTACTGTAGGTATGTAGACGTCTGCTTTGTCCTTTGCTCAACACAAGAGGAAATGGACAAATGCTTCGAATTGTTAAACGCACAGTCAGAGTATATCAAGTCACCTCGAGAAAAGCCGAAAGAAAAATGGCTACCATTTTTGAACGTACAAATTCACCTATCAGAAAATGGCTACATTACAAAGTGGTACCGAAAGCCAAGTAGTAAAAATATCTTGGTTCATTACCTCTCCTCTCACCCCTCTCACACGAAAAGGGCGCTTATAAGAAACATGTTTCGAACAGCAACCAACGTGTGCACGGGAAGAGAACAGAGAGAGGAGTCCCGGAACTTGGCACGGCAAATAGCCGTTTCTAATGGCTACCAAACTGTAGCTCAGAATAGGTGTAGAGGAAATCGTAGGCCTCCAAACGACAACTCTAGCGATAGAAGGGTCCCGTTTATC